TTTATTCCAAACCTCAGAGTTTTCTTACTTTCCCATTTATTTCAGTTCATCTTTATAAGTAATTCATATTCAAAGGTTCCATATGTTTCAATTTAAAGAAGATATACACAGACTTAATTTTCCTGGACCAATTTCTGAATTATAGAACATTATTTGTGATTAAGGCTTTGATGCTTTCTGGGAGCAGAGAAAAGGCATACATATCCTCAGGATGTATGTGCTTATGAGAAGGGCAGAAGAATGTCCAGGCTTTTTCTCAGAGGATAACATTTAACTCAAAGAAGGAGCTGAGGAAACAGTTGTTACATTTTGGATCATGATGCTAATTTCCTGAGGAACCCACAGTTATACTTACCCTTTTCATTTACTCTAGAGAATGTGCATCCCCCCCTTGTGGATAGAGAGACAGATTGTTGCCTCCCCAATTATCTTGAGATCTGTAGGGAAATCTGAGTTTGGAGTTTCTCTTCTCTTGATACCTGCAGTTAAGTAAGAAATTGTCCCCAGGTCCTGTTCTGTGTCTGTAAGTTGTAGAGTATTGTACAAGTCACTAACTGTGCTTTGCAACCAGAATCATCACAGATGCTACTTTAAAAGTGCGTTCCTGAACAAAGGCATTATGAGGAGACATGTTGACATGGGGGAAAGTCTTAAGGATGCCTCAAGAAACAATTAAGAACTGAAGACAGCCCAAGAACACTGAGAGTGTTACAAATGTTCTGTTTTATAGAAGAAACATTCATCAATTGACTATCAAGTATCAAATTGTTAGCTGTGAACTCATATAAATAAGTGACATTATATGGACAGAGAAATTGTATTTAATGTATTTAGCAATATATGTAAATATATATAACACCAATTAAGGAAATATAAACACTAAATGTTAGAGAGAGCATAGTGGTGAACACTGGAAGGGCTGGGGTCAGGAAAAGGAAAGTGGAAATTTTATGTAATTATATTTTAATTTTAAAAGATAAAAATATTAAATAAGAACTCATAGCGATTTGCCTGCCTCTGCCTCCCGAGTGCTGGGATTAAAGACCTGCGTCACCACCGTCCGGCTGAGTTCACTTTTTTTGCTCTAAGTATTACCCTATTCACTAACTAACTCTCTCAATATTACTTCAGTTTGTGGCCTCTTTTAATTTTATTTTTATTGACATATATATATATATATGCAAAAATATGAAAATCAATCCAGTCTCTGTAAAACAAACACCATGTTTTCTTCCTTATTTTTATTAGATTTTATATACATACATCCAATTGTATACATAAATATGATATGAATGTAGGGGAACAAAGAATCTAATATACACAGGAGTATAGGGCTGTAAAGTGAGATGTGAGCAGGTAAGGAGGAAATAAAATCTTTTTGTCACAAGTTTTTATATAAAAATCTTATTTAACATAATATTTACAATATATATACACAATGCCAATTTTGAAAATCAATAATATACACTGATATCATATTGATAATTATATTGATGTATATATTTAACATCATATATAATAAAATATATTGAGATATATTTAACATCATTACAATTTAATGTTCTGATACAAGTAAATTAATTGCCACAAGAGCAAATTTCTAAAATAATGTTGAGACTAGATATCTCTGCATGTTCTAGTATTTCACAAGCTTCCTGCACAATTTGATGCAGGAAGAAGGTACATGATAGAAATGGTCCATTACCCCTGGACATCCATCCACCTCAACTGATATAAACAGGTTCCTGATCATTGTACTTTACCTGGAATGTGATACTCTGCTCCAGCTGCATAAAAGACACAAAGATACATATCCTGTTGTTTTGAATGTTTCAAATGTCAGCTACATGGGTTTTCTGTCTTTATTGCATCCTTCAAGATGAAGGAAAACTGACCCCACCACAGAAGCTCCATTTTCTTTACCACAGTCTTTTGTGGCAAGTCACACACATGTGACTTTGATGACAGTTGTGTTTTTTCTAAATATAGGTGATCCCCTTATTCTGAAGTTGATTCTGGCCTACTCCTTAAAGGCAGATGCTTTATGTTTTAAGCTAGTTGCATGTGTATTTCCTTGACTTTAGCATGGTAGAGGATTTCTAAAATCCTCCCTTATCTGAACTTCTGATGCCTCTTAGAGATGGATGTTCCTCAGAAAAGTTGCCAAATTATTCATGGGATGGGATGAAGTTTTGCTTGTTGTTCTCTTAACACTGTTATTAAAGTAAATATAGTTTTCATTTTGTATCAGATTTTTATCATCTACAATATGATCAATTCATGTATACACAAATAATATTGACATCATGTTAGCAATCAAATTAGTAAGCCCATCATATCCTAAAACCTTGCCATGCCACTTCATGTTTTAAGTTTACTTGCCTTAATTTCTGTGTTTTGAATGTTTAATATAAGAACTGTTTCCATTAGTTTTGAGTAAACTTTATTTTTTCCAAAGAGTGCTCACCTTTATAGACCTGGAAGGAGGGGGGAGGACCTTGGGCTTCCCACGGGGCAGGGAACCCTAACTGCTCTTAGGACTTGAGAGGGAGGGGAAGGAAAAAGGGAGGCGGGGAGGAAGTGGAAATTTTAATAAATAAATAAATTAAAGCAAACAAATAAACAAACAAAAAGAGTGCTTCACTGTAGCTTTGGACCCTGTCCTGGACCTAACTCTTATAGACCAGCCTTGCCTCAAACTCACAGAGTTTTTCCTGCCTCTGCCTCCCAAGTGCTGGAATTAAAGGCACGTGAGACCACCTCCCAGCTTCTTTATCATATTTTTAACTACATAAATTATATTATACATCATCTTTGTAAATTATTCATTCAAAATGTCACATAACTGACTAAGTGAAAAAATTATTCCAGTCTCTATTCTCTTATCATGTGGTAAATATTATTTTATTTTTTCTCTATTTGAACCAGGCAAACCTAGTTATAACTATCCTATGCCAGTAGGGTCATTCAATTCTTGTTTTATTGATTAGTATTTCATCTTACATATTAACCTCTTGATTTTTCAGGTTGTTTAAAAGATTTCCTTCAGAGAAAAAAAAACAAAATAGTACTCTTCCAAACAATTTATTAATGACTCATAACAATAATTGGATTGCTGAAGCTAATGTATATTTTTGTTTCATTAAATATTGTTATGTTAATGTAATGAAATATTTTGATTTTTCTATATTAGCTAATAAGATATTTGCTGAATATCTTCAGTCACTTTATGCACATCACATGGATTCTGTGTGCCACAGAAAAGTATCTCATAATTATGAGAACTCAAGGAACATCTAAAATTGGTTCTAGAATTATAAATATTATTGTAGGACATTATATTTCACATTGTCTTGGCATAAGAAGTCTATCAATAATAAACTAAAAATTATTGGACAAATTTATAGAGATTAAATACAAATACAACTATGATGATAGTGCTTCAAGTAGTTAGTTAAATATGGATGTAAATTGGAGCTAAATACATTTCTTAATGCCAACTTAATGCTAAGAAGAAATGCTTTGTAATAAAGAGTCCATACTCCTCATAAATACAGTTCAGAGAAGATGGCAGGGTAGATCATAGGATAAATATCATGATTGGCAGATCCTCAGGAGCAAAGTTGCTATGTTGCTAGCTGAGGACGATCATGGAAGGATTTCTAAGAGTCAGATAAGATAAATACAAACAAGTCTGCATAAAACTGAAACTTATGAATAAGTGAAATGATTTAGGAAAATAAACAGTATAGTTAAAATGAGGACAACAACATAAAGAAAATCTGATGAATTGTCTTACTTTGAGGCTGTATTCGATGACAGAAGTTTTTAAAGAGAAATTATCCACAAAAACTTAATATAAAAGTTATTTATACACAATATCTATATGACTAATAATGCAAATAAAGTATGTATTTGTCCTGTGCTATAAGACAGGAAACAAACATGGTCAACAAGATTCATTTTTGTGTTAACATCAAAATAGAGTATCATTAAGGAAGCTTAGAAAAAGTATGGCTTGATATAGGAAAAATGTAATTTCCTGTCTTCTGCCATATTACCGTAGATTATTAGTGATCATTTTCAGCTGCTGTAGGTTCTTAGAATTATTAAAGACTAGAATTCATTATGGTCTGACACACACTTATGTGAACTGGTGCCAGAGGAAGCGGAATTAGGGCACTCACACTTTTAAAATTGGAAATTTCTGTCCCATTTATGTTCCTTCAATTATTAAAACTTTTGAGGAAATGTATTATTTTATACTGGTATGTGATAAGTCATCCACATGTCGTGTAACATAAACAAATAATGTAATAGATACACATACATAGAATTTTGTGTGATAATAGAAAAAATAGATTAATATATGTCAAATATTATAAAAAAATCAAGGTGCTTTTATTCTTCATTCAAAATGAATGTTCTATTTTTCCTAATTTTGGTGTTGCAAGATATCATAGAGGACATATAACAAGAGGTATCTTGTCATATAATTGAAGGCAAGCTGAAGACAAAGTCACCACTCTTCAGTGCCTCCTATAGGATTCAGATAAAATAATAGATGTGAGGTAATAAGTTTTAAAATGTTAGTTCTGGGAAGAGTAATAAAGGCTCCAGTGGTTTGCTTCTCACACTGATTAGTACATCAAGCAAGGTACCATGTGCTATTTGGAAATGTCTATTTTTATTTCATAATGCAACATTTTTAACTGGTTTAAGTTCATTGGAATCACAAAGTCTATAGGTGCTTAAACAATTAGGATGTGTCTTATTCTAGTAGATCTATTCTAGATATAGAGAAAAACCATGCTGCTGCTGAAGTCTTCAGAAAAAGATGAAATGTTGGATACCAGCAGGAGATAGTGAGATTTTTCTGATGTGGATGGTGCAATTTGACTCCAAACTAAAATTTCTTGTTTGGAAGTTAGTGGGATGAGTGTTAGAAATTTAAATTTCTTGATTGTTAGTACTATGTTTTTGCTATTGCAAAAGTTTCTTTACACATGGAACTTCATTTTATGAAATAACTTATTTAGAGCAAGTTTTACATCCCTATTCCTCAGGCTGTAGATCATAGGATTCAGCATGGGCACAACAGTCGTATAAAACACAGAGGACACTTTGCCTTTGTCTTTGGATCTGACTGAGAAGGGCTGTAGGTACACGAATGCCAAGGAACCAAAGAAGACAGCAACAGCAGAGAAGTGGGAGCTGCAGGTGCTGAAGGCTTTGAATCTGCCCTCAGTGGATTTGATACGGAGGATGCTAGCAATGATGAAGATGTAAGAACCCAGGATGGCCAGGGTGGGAACAAGAATGTTAAAAGCACTGAGATACAGGAGGAAAACCTCATTGATGAAAGTATTGGAGCAGGCAAGCTCCATCAATGGAAAAAGATCACAAAAGTAATGGTTTATTGTATTAGCCTTACAGAAATCCACTCTTAGCATGCAGAATGTATGGATAGAGGCACCGACAATGCCCACGCCATAAACCCAACCTATCATCCAGGAACAGACTTGGTAAGACATAGTGACATTGTAGAGCAAAGGATTGCAAATGGCAACATAACGGTCATATGCCATGGCAGCCAGCATGTGACACTCAGATATAACAAAAGCAAGGAAGAAATAGAGCTGAGTCATACATTCCGGGTAGGAGATGACATTCTTCATTGTCACAAAGTTCACCAGCATTTTGGGGGTGATGACAGTGGAGTAACAGAGGTCAATGAAGGAAAGACTGCTGAGGAAGAAGTACATGGGTGTGTGCAAGTGGGAGCTGAGCAGGATCAGGATGATCATTCCCAGGTTCCCCAGCACTGTGAGCAGGTAGATTCCAAGGAAGAGGGGGAATAGAGGAAGTTTCAGCTCTGGTTGGTCTGTTAACCAAGAGAGGATGAACTCAGTCACTGTGGAGTCATTTCTTTCTGGCATTTCTCCCTGGATGTTCTATATAGGAAGTGAAGAAAAAGGTTATTTATCACACATCTGCTTGATATGTGACATTGAATTCAAGATTTCCATTCTGGTGTTTTCTGTTTTCAACAGCTTTTCATTTTTGCTACCAGCTAAAACTCTAACATGGGAATACAAATAGATGTTTAACTTATCTATGTCTATCTATGTTCCATGAACACCCAAAAAGACAGATATATTTAATTTAATGGAATTTTCTAGCAATTACTCATGTGTATCTTATAAATATTGCTTTATCTTAAAATGTTAACATTAACATCTTCCAAGAACTCTCAAATAATTCCTCTTGAAATTTTTTACCATAAGTTAATGAATGAAGCAATCATAACATATTTCTTTGATATTGTAGTGTAAATTTTACTTACAAAAAGGAACTAGAAAGAAGACTTTCTAAGAAAGTCTAACTACTTTCTAACTACAAAAAGACACTAAGAAGTTCCTATAAATGTAAGCATAAAATGAAACTACTCTACATCTTAATAATATAATATTCTGTATAAAATTTTAATTAATACATAAAGAAATTTGAAAGTGCATTTAATGGTCAGCAAGTGTTAGAACAGAAGATCCAAGGAAAACTCAATAATCATTAAATTTATTAGAAATTTAGTAAAAATCATAATTTGTTTAAATGTACATTATATAAAAAATAGAATACATTGTGCTTAGAATTGCAAAGTTCTATGAAAAGGAATTAAAATCATAAAGAAAAAGAAATGCTTCCTTGCTTGTGAGTCAATGAAAAATCTTTGTTATAGTGAATATATTTTCCAAATCAATCTCTGAACCTAGTGATATCTACAACTTCTTTTTTTCATTTGTCTTGCACATGAATCATTGTACCCCATGAAGATTCTGACTCAAGAAAATCAGAATCAGTTTGAAATGGGAGAATAAAAACTTGAGCTTACACCTCTTGAGTTTCACTACAGTCTTGTAATATTCTGCATAGTGTATTACTGCCATTGTAGAGATGTGCCAATTAATGGAATGAATTCAAAATCGCAGAAAGAAGCTTATATTTGAAAACTTTTGGAATAAGGGTTTTATAATAAGTCAACATGGAAATGCCTTTTTAATTACAAGACATAGAATTATTAGACAGGTATATGTTATTAATATGTAGTGCAATCTCATATAACTCAATCAAATTATTTCAAAATGGGCCACTGGAAGTTAGTATAGCAGCTAAAGCAATATCAATATGGAGGAAAAACACAACCAAAATTTAATAAACTTGAAATTGTTAATTTTTCCTAGATAAGGTGCTAAAATCAAAGGCTGTCATATAGAATTAGTAAAGTTCAGAGAAAGATGTATAACTCAATAAAAAAAAGAATTAGAGTGCTGAGGAGTTCTATCCAGAGTGCTGAGGAGTTCTACCCAGAGTGCTGAGGAGTTCTATCCAGAGTGCTGAGCAGTTCTACCCAGAGTGCTGAGGAGTTCTATCCAGAGTGCTGAGGAGTTCTACCCAGAGTGCTGAGAAGTTCTGTCCAGAGAGTGCTGAGGAGTCCCATCCAGAAAGGAAGAGATGGGCAGGCGCCAATGCAAGAATTCCTCCAACAACTTGAAAGGCAACATGACATCACTAGAATCCGGGGATCATGAAACTAGAAGAATTGAACACACTACTCCAGAAGAAATCGAAGAAATCGACCTTAAGCGGAACTTTATGAAATAATAGAGGAACTTAAACAGGAGGTGAAAATCTGCCGTAAAGAAATGGAAGAGAAGTATAGCAAAAAGATTGAAGAAATGAGTAAAGAAACGGAAGAGACATATAACAAAAAGTTTGAAGAAATGAGTAAATCCATAAATGAAACCCTGGGAAACCAAGAAAAAACAATCAAACAGGTAATGGAAACAGTTCAAGATTTGAAAACTGAAATGGAGGCAATAAAGAAAACACAAACCGAGTCCCAGCTGGCTATGGAAAATCTAGGTAAACGAAGAGAGACTTACTTCAGAAACAAGCATAACCAATAGAATACAAGAGATAGAAGAACGAATCCCAGACTCTGAAGACACCATAGAGAAAATAAATGCTCTGACCAAAGAAAACAGCAAATCCAACAAATTCTCATCACAAAACATTTAGGAAATGTGGGACACAATAAAAAACCAAATCTAAGAATAATAGGGATAGAAGAATGAGAATAATTGCAGATGAAAGGCCCAGAAAATATATTCAACAAAATTAGAGAAGAAAACATTCCCAACCTAACGAACGATATCCCTATGAAGGTTCAAGAAGCATACAGAACACCGAATAGACTGGATCAAAAAAAAATACCTTCACCATATAATAATCACAACACAAAACACTCAGATTAAAGAAAGAATATTAAGAGCTGCAAAGGAAAAAGGTCAAGTCACTTATAAAGGTAAACCTATCAGACTTACACCGGACTTCTCTATGGAAACCATGAAAGCCAGAAGGCCCTGGATAGAGGTACTGGATGCAAGCCCAGACTACTAAACCCAGCCAAGCTATCATTCACTATCAACAAAGAAATCAAAATATTTTAGGATAAAAATAAAATAAAAAATATGTAGCCATAATCCAGCCTTACAGAAAGTATTAGAAGGAAAATCACAACCCAAGGAATCCAATATTGCCAATACTACCTACAATAACACAGACATCTAGCGACGCTTCACAAGCAAAACTCAAAGAAGGGAAACAAACACACTCTACTACCCCCACCAAAAAAGAAAAGAAAAGAAAAGAAAAGAAATGGAGTCAACAACCACTGATCATTATTATCACTTAATATAAATGGATTCAATTCACCTATAAAAAGGCACAGACTTAGAGATTGGATACGAAAACAGAATCCAACATTCTGCTGTTTACAAGAAACACACCTCAACCACAAAGACAGACATCTACTCAGAGTAAAGGGTTGGGAAAAGGTTTTCCAAACAAACAGTCCTAAGAAACAAGCAGGTGTGGCCATTCTAATATCTAACAAAATTGACTTCAAACTAAAATAAATCAGAAGAGATGGAGACGGACATTTTATACTCATAACAGGAACAATTCATCAGGAGGAAGTCTCAATCCTGAATATCTATGCCCCTAATATAAAGGCACCCACTTATGTAAAAGAAACACTTCTAGAACTCAAGGCAGTCATCAAACTGCACATACTAATAGTAGGAGACTTCAATACACCTCTCTCACCAATGGAACAGGTCAATCAGACAGAAGCCTAACAGAGAAGTAAGAGAATTATTGGAGGTATTGATTCAAATGGATTTAACAGATATCTATAGAACATTTCACCCAAATAGGAAAGAATATACCTTCTTCTCTACAGTGCATGGAACCTTCTCGAAAATTGACCACATACTCGGTAACAAAGAAAACTTCCACAGATACAAAAAAATATTAGTAACCACCTGTATCTTGTCAGATCACCATGGATTCAAGTTAGAATTCAACAACAATGCTACCCCTAGGAAGCCAACAAACTCATGGATCTGAACAGTCAACTACTGAATCATCCCAGGGTCAAGGAAGAAATAAAGAAAGAAATTAAAGTCTTCCTTGAATTCAATAAAAATAAAGATACAACATACTCAAACCTATGGGACACTATGAAAGCAGTGCTAAGAGGAAAGTTCATAGCACTAAGTGCCCAATTAAAGAAAACGGAGAAAGCACACATTGGAGACTTAACAACACACCTGAAAGCTCTAGAAAAAAAAGAAGCTGATTTACCCAGGAGGAGCAGAAGACTGGAAATAATCAGACTGAGGGCTGAAATCAATAAAATAGAAACACTGAAAACAATCCAAAGAATCAATGAATCAAAAAGCTGGTTCTTGGAGAAAATCAACAAGATCGACAAACCCCTATCCAAAGTAATCAAATGGCAGAGAGAGAATATGCAAATTAATAAGATCAGAAATGAAAAAGGGGGACATAACCACAGACACAGAGGAAATTCAGAGAATCATTAGATCTTACTACGAAAGTTTATATGCCACAGAGTTGGAAAATGTAAAAGAAATGGACAATTTTTTAGATAAGTACCATATACCAAAGTTGAACCAAGAATAGGTGAACAATCTAAATAGACCTGTTAGTCACGAAGAATTAGAAGCTGTTATCAAAAATCTCCCTACCAAAAAAAGCCCAGGACCAGATGGTTTCAATGCAGAATTCTACCAGAACTTCCGAGAAGAGTAATACCTATATTCCTTAATGTATTTCACAATATAGAAAGAGAAGAGTCATTGCCAAACTCCTTTTATGAAGCTACAGTTACCCTGATACCAAAACTGCATAAAGACACAACCAAGAAAGAGAATTACAGGCAAATCTCACTCATGAACATTGACACGAAAATTCTCAATAAAATACTGGCAAACCGAATCCAAGAACACATTAGAAAAATTATCCATGATGATCAAGTAGGCTTCATCCCAGAGATGCAGGACTGGTTCAACATACTCAAATCTATCATGTAATCCATCATATAAATAAACTGAAAGAAAAAAACCATATGATCATTTCATGGATGCTGAAAAATTATTTGACAAAATTCAACACCCCTTTATGATAAAGGTGTTGGAGCGATTGGGCATATAAGGATCATACCTAAATATAATAAAAGATATTTATGGCAAGCCAACAGCTAACATCAAATTGAATGGAGAGAAACTCAAAGCTATTCCACTAAACTCAGGAACACGACAAGGGTGTCCACTCTCTCCATACCTCTTCAATATAGTGCTTGAAGTTCTAGCAATAGCAATAAGACAACATAAGGGAATCAAGGGGATTCTACTTGGAAAGGATGAAGTTAAACTTTCGTTATTTGCTGACGATATGATAGTGTACATAAGCGACCCCAAAAACTCTACCAAAGAACTCCTACAGCTGATAAACACCTAATGTGGCAGGATACAAGATCAACTCCAAAAAATCAGTTGCCCTCCTATACACAAAGGAT